CACCTAGTCACATCTTCTGGGCTGCTAGTGCTCGCCCAATTTGTGGTACACTGTCTGGGAAAACAATGCCAAGGAAGCAAATTAGCAGTGGTGCTGCTATTTAAAAACCAAACAGTAACACCCCTTTGCTATGTGGCAACGTCCTAGTTCTTCTATAGGTTTTCAAACTACATCACCCAAAGCCCAGATTCAGACAGTTCCTGTAGTTGCTCGTGCACAGGCACACCTCAATTTAAGGAAAAGCAGGGCAAATTAGTTGGCTCGAAGCCTCTACAGACAAGTGGAGACTGGGCTGTACCCTGTGGAGTCAAGGGGAGCAGGAGCCACAGGCCTAAACTGGCCAAGAAACAAGGCCAGCTTGAATCTGGTGGGAGCTGAAAATGGTGCCGAGGCTCCTAGACAGCATCCAGGTGAGGGCTGCAGAAATCCCCTGATGAGAGCAAAGTGTCAATTCTCCATTGGGCTGCATGTCAGATGTGGGCTGAATCCACCCAGGAAGGCTGTGTAGTGGTCCCTCTACAGTGAAAATACTGCCTTTCTTTTCATGGATCTCACCTTTTCCTTGATGTCTGAAGAAACAGCTGTTACTGGGAGGTAAACGTGAAGCCTGTTTTGTTCAGCATGCACATGAGACAGGTGTACAGGTAGCAAAGCTTGCGAACAGAGCGCCCCCCCCCTCCTAGGGTCTGACAAAACGCATGCAACTTGGCAGTTAAAACTCTCAGCTGCTGGCATAATGGTCGGGGCTTTTTCCAGGAGAGAAAGGAAAACTGTTTTACCTACACATCCGTGAGTGCTCTCTTTCTCATTTATTTTCCCACTTCTTATAAATCATTAAAAAATTGTCAAAAATAGCACAGCTTACTTTGGAGGTGATTAAAAAAGAGAATAAATTTTCCCATCACTCTCTTACAAAACAAAACATTCCCAGTAGCATCTGACAGACACAGAGCCAAATATCTTACTCCCCACTGTTTAGCTTGCTGTCTGACAAGGTGCCCCTGTGCCAGCCACTCCTCCTGTCAGTTTAAGCAGACGTTGCTTTGCAAACACCCAGGAACACGGTGTGCAGCATGGGGTATTGACAAATTCGTCATCCAGACTAAAAATAACAACGGATCTGTGACCCTCCCACCCCATTGCCCAGATGCAGTGCAGGGAGGAGGAAATTTTCAGTAAGCCCTTGGAAACGTAACCTATCCCAAGCCACTGTGATTTACATAAATAGTAAAAAGTTTAATATATGTAGACTGTATTCATTCCTGCAGTAACTCTGCTGCTCTGCTGGCTGTAGGGAGGTAACTAATGGAATGAACTGGGTCCTCTAATGTGCAGGAAGAAAGTGTTACTGTATGCTGTTGTACATAGAGATATAAGCGATACTAGCTAGACAGGATGGTCTAAGGTTTCTCAGTCCATGCGTGCTCTTTCATTTAATGTTTCCCTCTGCAGCTCCTGCCCATTTCTGCTAATGCACCTTCCTACCACCCTGCCTCTGTCCCAGGCTGGCAGCACAGCCTTATCTGTGTCACTCACCTTCACACACACACACACACACACACCCCCCACCTGAAAGTGCTTCAAGGTTTGGGTGCTGGCAGCCTCAAACCTTCCTCCTCCATGAAGCACCAGCTGCTGAGCAGACCCAGAGGAGCTGTCACAGCAGGGGCACAGGGATACCCTCCCCTTGCAATTAGGAGCGGTTAATTAGCAGGCTGCTTGGGGAACAGAGAGGACATGAGTTGAGAGCTCCAGCTAGATCACAGAGGCCAGCATGGCCTGAGGCAAGTCACATTAGTTCTTTCTGCTTTAGTTTTCCGTACTGTACTTACGCTGGGGGCAATGACTAGTTTACCTCACAGCCAGGTCCTGACATTAGATGTGGGGAGCTGTGTAAAGCACAGAAGAACAAAATAGCACTGGCACTTTGGTTTTGTAACACAGGGTCTTTCTTACTGCCAGAGTGGTTTTGTAATGGGGATTTCTTGCTGAATGGCAGGGATGTAGGAGATGAGTGTAAAGTTGCCCAAGAATGGTTTGGGTCCTTTCAGACTACAATCTTACAATAACAAGGTCATGTTTCACAGCGAAGAGCTGTGCTCAAAGAATGGGCTAAGGACAAAGAAGTCAGACCTAGAGCTGAATTTTTATGCCCTAGTGTTAAGAGGCATGCGGGATGTGGGGCATTTCCCACTATGAAGGCTCTGAACACTGGCATTCCCCAGGGTGCTGGTTGCTCTGCATAAATGGAGAATGTGTTTCCAGGTATCTTGTATGGAAGAGTTTTGCATTTTTTTCTTTTCCTGGTGTTTTCTCTTCAAAACATCATCTAGTAACATCTCAGCAAAAAGAAAGGCAGAGCTGCCTCCTGCCTAGATGCAGAAGCATTATGATTTTCTTACCATGCCTCAGTACTGGCTCTTTACAGTGGATGCTACTTGTGTGTCAAGGGGGCTGCACTCCCACAAGTTGTTAGGTGCTTCATTGACTCACATTAGAACATGCCTGTACTGCACTGCAAAATAAATGTCATGAGGCTCATTTCCAGAGACACTGGGCTAAGCCGGTGTTTTCCTTTTTGCCTATGACAGACAGCTTTCTTCTACAACTATGACTGCTAAGTCAACTTCCAACAAACTTTATTCCCTGAGATCTTGACTCAGCAAAGCATTAAATTGAATTTAAACTTGCATGCTTTGAAGGGAGCCTGTGTGATCTGAGAACAGGCAGATCCTTCCCAGAGCACCTCTGCTCTCCTTCAGGTGGCAGCTTCTCTACTAAACAACAGCATAGTCACAGGTCTGCAAAGAGAGCCACAGTCATCACCTACAGTGTCCTGCATCAGACCAGTTTTGTGCCTCGTCCTTATACCTCCCTGCATCTGCTTTAAGAAGAAAAACAACAGAAAAAAAACCAAAACCAAAGCCAAAACCACCCCAAGTCACAACCTTTCAAAATGGCATTCTAACTATTACATTTTTGTCTCTGTCACCAGAGGAAGAACACCCACAGCTGAAAGCAAATCTCTTTGTTCTGGTGTAACAACTGGTGGTGATGAAAAGCCATCCTCAGGTAGTATGCGATCAGCCTGCCTCTCTCTGAGGTCAGTAAGGGAGCAGAAAATGTCACCTCCCTGAAGAAGTTGCTTTCCTGATGACAGCAGAGGTGGCTCTGGGGCTGGAACTTCTGGAACTCTAGTGGTTGATGGGCTTTGTATGCAAATGCTGTGTTTCTCACATCTCCATGTCCAGGTTTGGCTTAGTAAACACATGCACAAAAGTCCGCTCTCAGACCTGTGCGGACTGCATATTCAGCATTTGTTTAGTGAACAGAATTCCCCTGGCATCAGGAGAAATTTCAGCGCAGAATGAGCCTGGAGCTCTACAGGCATTAGAAGAGAAACACAGTATGTAACCAAGGTGAGAAATCTAATCCTCCCATCTCTCTTATCCATGTGGTGAAAGAATTTATTATAAACTGGTTTAAAAAATACCTTGTAAAATATTAACTAGTGGTGGTGCAGCTGCTCCTTTTAATAGCTTTTGAATGTGTCTGCCAAATTCAACCTTGACAGAGAGATCATGTTTTAGTGATGAATTCTGTGTGAAGAGGCAGCATGCAGAAGAGATTGCTGGCACCCTCACTGGCACTGAAGGGCTCCAGCTTTAGGCCAGATGCTGTTAAAAACTAGACAATCCACATAAACAGGATAGTCTGCAAACACTCAAAACATGCAGAAGATTCATTCAGAGATCAGGCAAAAGAAACTGCTCTTTAGGCAATGTTTCTTTCCCATGTGTGAGTTCTCTGATGTCTAATACAAGATGAACTCATCCTGCAGCCTTGGTTTGACTGAAGTGAGAATCACAGGGCAACCACCCAAGGAAACCAGACTGCATGGTTCTGGGGCCTCTGAAATTACTTGTCTTACTCTGCCATAGCCAACAGCGTGACAAACCCTTTCTGATATGGTCTGCTTTTTCATGTTGTCTCACTATGCAAAACATGAGTATATCATGATGGGAGTTTTACCTGAAAATGAATGCCAGGATTTGGTCCTGTAATACTTTTTAGAACATTTAAACGATATTGAAGTCCTTCTCCCTAATGTTTCAGTATTTCAACTTCAGAAACCCTGTAAACATTCAGAGTAGTTTCTAGCCAGTCAAATTCTAGCAGTAGTGCTAGTCAATGGGCAGTAGCAAGCAGTGCAGTGATTTTCAAGTTGTGTTAGAGGTGCATCCACACGTCAGTGCTTGGCTTTAGATTTGAATGTTTAGTGGCATTGGATCCAGATTTTTGGTTGCCCTGTTAAATCTACGGGATCCAACATAAAACCTGGAGTTAGACACCAAATGTTTAGGAATTGAAACATGGGAAAGTGATGGTGGCTGGATCTAAGATGTGTTAACAGTCACAGAAGTTTCCTGGTAATTGTGCTTTTGTTTCTGTGGCTTTTGAAGTGCAGGTATTTCAAGGTCTAGTGGTCATTTTGCGGCATGCATGCAAATGGCCTAGAAGCAAAGTCTTTATTATAACCTTGTGATTATAATACAGCAATAATCTAGAATGTGTTTTCTAATCCCAGAGAGGACCAACCAAAGTTATCTTTCTGCAGGACCTAACCAAATCTCATCAGCTTCTCCTCTGCTCTAAATGAGCTGAGATCTATTTCTGAGGTGTGAGGTAGCACATTGATTGCTTTGATTTTTAGTTCTCCCTGGCCTGCAGCTCAGTATCAAAAACATCAAATAAGCCTCATCTAGAAGGGCCATACTTTTTACATATGTCCCAAGGTTTAATTTCTGTTCCCACAGAAATCCAGCAGTAAAACTCCTTCTCAAACAGATGCATAAGCAGACCCAAGAAATGTCTCCACCCAACTTGCTGACTCAATTTTCCATGCCGCAATTTTAAACAACTTAGAAACTCCACTAACTTTCACAGACTTTGGACTGGAACCCCCACAGAAATAAAAAATCTCCATACACAGATTAATGTCTTTTGAAAAAAAATATTTTTTTCTTAGATTGCACATTCAAAACTTCAGCTGCACACTGCATGGTATAGGAACAGTAGTTTGCCAATCCAATTACAACCACGTAGCTGTGTTTTGATAAGTTCAGCTGTAGCCCCAAGGTGTCAAACTCAGTCAGCAGCAGGAGATGACCCCAGGTATAATTACATTCAGTGGCCAAGACATGTCTCCTGGGCTGTAAAATGTTCTCAGTCTACACCAGAAATGCCCAGTCAGAGAAAGTTTGGACAAAGCCTTCAGGTAGATTGTAGTAGACCTTTAGGGAAAAACTGCTGTTCTAGAGTTTTTTGTTCCAGAGACAGCAGACTGTGTCTGCTCTTTTGCCCACCACGTTTTTATTTCTTTTTGCTGTTTTCCAGCTCTCCCCATTTGCTCTCTGCTAAAGAGATCAAGCAGTGAAATTCAACCACAGTGCGATGATGCAGAGAGCAAGAACCCTCACATTATGTGCTGGCAGGCTTTTTCTGCAGCCCTCAAGGCTACAAACAAGATGAAATGCTGGCTGGGCTGGAGTGACTGCAAGTTTTATCCCAACTCCAAGTACTGCCAGGGAGCAACGGAAGTTTTGTGCAGGCTGGATTTGGGCCACTGGGCATCTCTTTTCCAGGTCTTTGCAGCTGCAAGGGCACACATGGACCACTGTGGTACAAACAACACGTGAAGAAAGCTGTTTTTTATCAAGGACCTTGTCCAGTGTTGCAGCAGGATTGGATTCACTGTTCAAACTGATTGCTGTTTTGAGGATGAGGGGGCAGACTCCTAGCTGGAAAAATAATACAGCTGTCCTTCCCACAGCTACCAGTATTTTTAGATTTTGGTGTTAATTAGTGCTTTTCACCAATGGATATGTCTCACTTTAATAACCACTCAAATAAATAAATAAATAAATAAATAAATAGTATTTTGTGCTTTGTTAGCATCATTTGTCCAAAGTCTTTGAAGCATTTTGCCCAGCCGAGTGATGCTATTTCCTGCGAGTTTCAGCAATCCCAAGAGTCTGACTCTGCTTCTGTTTATACCACTAGGAGCAAGCCCAGCCCCTGAGGACTTGCATGGCGTTACACAGCGAGCCAATGACTGACAGAGCAAACATCGCTCAAGGTGCCCTAATTCCTACTTTCATGCTGCCTGCCCTCAGCAGCACCAATTGTACCGTGATTCAAAAAAGAGAAGTTCCATCAAAATTAAAAAATATCCCTGCTTGCTTCATTTTCAGCACTGTTCAGATGATGTCTCCAGCCTTGCAGGGCACCAGGATGTGTTTGGTCTACTGTTGTTGCTGTTCATTTAACCCCTTCCTTAAAGCTTTCTAAGTTATTTTTGACCTGCTGTCACCTCCTGGGAAATTCTGGTAAGCAATCTATGCATGCAGGACTGCAGGTCTGTGCTGTATGTCAACCTTCTTCTGGTTTTCTAATCTCTGTGTTGTATGTCAGAGACGTCCACAAGGAAATAAGATCGTGGCTGTTCTTGTTGCTTCTCCCCCATGCTCCAGGTCCAATGCCTTCAGCACAGCAACCCAGCACGGTGGCATGGATGATGGAAGAGAGAGCTGGCGCTGCCCAAAGCCAGAAAAAAACCAGCAGAAAGTGCCTGTCTATGACGTGTGCTTGTAACTCCAACCCAACAGAGAGTAAATGTAGAAACCTGGAGCAGAACACTGTCTCACTTGAATGCTGTGCATGGGGCATAGGTAGGCTTTTCAGAGTTCCAGTGCATTAATGGCAAAAGGACTCAGTTCCCACCAAATGGTATTTAGAGTTATAAAAAAGCCATGATCCTCATCTAAGAGGATCTGTAATGTACCATATTGTGTGCATCTGCTCTTTCTTGTGCCCTATATAACAATACTGTTAGCACCAGCGGACAGATAAATGCTGCCCTGCTCAGTAGATGATGGTAAGAGCTGGGTGAACATCTCATTGTATGCAGCTCACAGAACTATGGAAAGGACCTCTGGAGGACACCTGGTCCAACCTCCTTCTCAAGGCGGGCCAAGTTGGATAAGGTTGCTGAGGGTCTCCTCGAGTTTTGAGAATTCCCGAGGATGGCAATTTCTCTAAGAAATCTGTTTGCAGATTTCCATTTACATGATCCACATGTGTCACAAAGGCCAGATTCTGCAGGCTCATTCATTTTTGTACCTTTAGGAACAAGTGGGTTGCATGGGTACCTGTCATTTGTGGATTGCCCACAAATTTCTCTCCTTCTCCCCCTTCCTCCAAAAGAAAAGAAGAAATTGTAGAGATGTTTGTAAGAGAAACTTTGAAAGAAGGAGGAGAGCTGAGGGTGCCTGGGAGGGGCAACAGCTGCAAAAAGCAAAAGTGAAATTATGAGCGCTTCTAAGAGCTTCTGCCCAGTTCTGATCATAACGTCTACTTACATGGTGTTATGAAGTCTTGGTCTGTGCCTTCTCTAGCTCAGTACCAGCAGCAGGCGAGGGACGTATGGCATTCTGTACTCCAGCCCTCCTCACCTTCAGCATGGGAGTGCAGCAGCCTTGCAAATGCAGTCCCCTAACTTAAACCAAGCTGCCCGTCACTCAAGCCAGAATCAGCTGGGGTGGTTTTGGTTCTTAGTAGGCTCTAGTAGTCAGTAGTCTCTGTTGTCTACACTTCCAACTGAAAAGAGTGCAGCTGTGGTCAGCTCCAGTGTAGACAATTGACCAGTAACTCATAGGCTTCAAGCAGACTTCTGCAGCCCTCTCTGAGAAAATGCATGTGCTTGTGGGGTGGAGGACACAAAAACTCGCTTCCCCTCTGTAAAGATGACTGAAGTCAGTCCTTAAAACATGCCCAGAACAAAAACATATTTTAAACAGTATGTGAAATAGCTGCCACGTTTTTGTGCGGTACCCTGCTCCCTCAAAATAAGAAATTAGGGTGGTTGTTGGTTGTTGCTGTTTTTCAAATGTTAATGTGGAGGAGCTTTCTGATGCACTATGATGGACAACCGGTGATGTTTCCCCACTCATCCATGACGAGATCTTTCACTTCTTATTCAGGTGGGCATGCAGTTCTGCTTCCAAGGCCATTTTGTCAAAGGTGCGCGTGTTTGTCTCCTCCCGTACCTTTTCCCGGACATGGAAGGATGCACGAGCAACAGATCTGGCATTTTCTAAGACAGTCTTCTTCTCCTTGAAGATTTGCTCGCTCCTCTCCAGCTTCCTCTCTATAGAAAGGAGGATCTCCCTGCGCCGTAAGTCCTCGTACTGTTCCACCTTTTGCTTGTTCATCTTCTGCACTTTCTCCTTCTCCAGACGGCTCAAGACCACCTTGCGGGCTTTTTCTTGGACGACCTCTTCGGCCACCTGGGCAGCGTGCTGGAGCTTTCTCTCTGTCTCTCTAGCTAGGGCCTCCAAGTGCTCCTTCTGCTCTCTTTCCTTCTTTTCTGCTGCCAGTTTGGCTCTCTGGATCTGCATGTCTTCCCGCCTGGCCTTCTCCCGCAGCTCCTGGTTCCTTTTCTCCACTAGCTGCTCATAGTTCTCCTGAGCCTTTGTCAAACTCATCTCCAGGGAGGCCTTCAACATTTCCTTCTCTTCTGCCTCTTGCTTGGCCAGTTCCTTGAGCAAGGCTTCGTGCTTCAGCTTCTCTGCTTGGTTGAGCAGTTTCTTCTCCTTCTGCAGCTGCACCTCTTTCTTCAGCCTCTTCTGTGCGGCCGTGGACAGCTTCTCTTGCAGGAGCTGCTCCTCTCGCTCCCGGTGCTCCTTCTTGCCCTCCTCCTTCACCTTCAGGTTGTGCTCTTGATGGAGCTTCTTCTGCTTGTCCTCCTGGACGGCCCTCTCCAGCCTCTCCCTCCGCAGCCGCTCCTGCTTCTCCGCTTGCTCCCGCCACCTCTCCTCGCACACCTGGCGCTGCCTCTGCTTCAGCAGGGTGGCTTCCTCCTGCTCCTGGCGCCGGGGCGGGCTCGGGCGATGGGCACCCGGCAGCCCTGTGCGCGCATCCCCGTGTCTGCAGCCCTGCAGCCCTGTGTGCGCATCCCTCCATTCCTGTGTGCGCATCCCTGCAATCCCTGTGTGCACGTCCCTGCATCCCTGTGTGCGCATCCCTGTATCCACATCTCTCAGTCCCTGCGTGCCCATCCCTGTGTGCTCACCCTGAGTCTGCATCCCTGTGTGCGCATCCTTGCATCCCTGTCTGCATCCTTGCATCCCTGTGTGTGCAACCCGACATCCCTGTATCTGCATCCCTCCACCCCTGTGTGTGCATCTCTGTGTGTGCCTGTGTCTGCATCCCTCCATCCCTGTGTGCTGATTCCTCCATCCCCGTGTCCACATCCCTCTATCCTTGTGGGTGCATCCCTGCACTCCTGTGTGCCCATCCCTCCATACCTGTGTGCACATCCCTTCACCCTTTTGTCTTCATCCCTGCGTGCCCATCCCTGCATCCCTGTGCCCTTCCATGCACTTGCCTCTGTGCACACATCCTTCCCTGCAGACTTTACCCACATGAGCAGCACTGCCAGGGTTGTGCCCCTTATTTTGCACTGTGCCTGCACACAAACAAGCCCGTCTGTATTTACAGTTAATATAAGCAAGGATAAAAGGGGTGTAAGAAGGAGGAGGGGATGCTAACCCAGTTTTACAGATGGCAAACTGAGCCACAGGGAGATGAAGGTGCCTGCCTTGGGCCGCCTAGGGAATTCATGCCAGAGCCGGAAAGGAAAGGCACAGCTCTCAAATTTCAGTTCAAAGCAGTTTCCATCTGTGAAACCCTATTCCCTTTACTGCTAATGCAAGCTATTGCTGCTGCAGGGATGTGTCAGGGCTGACAAGTGGGGAACTAGAGGGATGTTGTAGGTAATACAGTACACCTTTTCAGGTACCCACTTTGAATATGCTGGTTGCAGTTCCCTTGATAGATCCCCCATTTCTACAGGGATCCTGGGCTCAGCAGCCTCAGTGGGGTTGAGGAATGCTCTGCTCTAGAAATACCGTTCAGCAAAAAGGGGATCGTTGCTGGTTGTGGAGCTGCAGAGCATCTGTGCCACACAGTGGAGCAACTGATTTTGTCAGGCAGAGGACAGTAGTAGCAAATGCACCTTTAGCCACTGTGTTACAACTTCAGGGCTTTTCAGCAATTTCTCGTTTAACCTCTACAGGTTCAGCTTAATCTGCTTTGCTTTAATAAAGAAGGATATGGCACTCTTCAAAGGACTTCCAGGATGGCCCAGGACAAGGATACAGAGCAGCGTAAGGACCCAGGAAAGGCCTAGCGAGTCCTTGGGGGAAAGCTGAAGAGCTGCAGGTTGGTTGTGGTTTCATCTTGTGCAGACAGAGACTGAATCGTGCTCATGCCTGCACTGATGAATGCACACAGTAACGATGCATCCACAGTGAGTGGGCAGACTCCACCAATAAACCATATTGACTAATCTGATCTCATTCATTCATCATCATCATAGTCTGCAGGGGACGGTTATAAAGCTTGGTAATTAGTTATGTGAAAAATCCTCAGGCCAGGGAACAGCGCCCTGCTCTCTGAAGAGCCCATCTCACTGGCTGATGGGGCTAACCGTTAATACTAGCCGTAGCACCATAGCTGTCAAGCCATGGCTGTGTTCCCTCCTCATGATAAATATTAAGCTGGTAAGTGTATATGCCAGATAAGGTGTGGGCTTGTCAGGGCTTTTGGCAGGTTGCTGTTTCAGCCTCCAGTGGTGCTGTATTTGGGCCTTGATCTTTCAGGTTTCCTTGTGGATCCTTATGAGTCCCATAAGTGGTCTCTCAAATACAATTGGAAGGGAATTTATTGGGAGACTTTAGAAGCAGCTGGATATGACTTTAGGAGACATTAACACACACTATCCAAACATGGAATCATAGCCCTACCTCATCAAGACAAAAGGAGATTTGGGATGGGGCAGGAGGAGATCTCTGGAGGAGTTGAAGAGGATCACTGCTAGTGAGTCATTTTTCCCACACGCAATTATAAAACCTAATTCTCTGTTGGCTAGAAATATCTAGAAATCTATGCACTCAGGCAGAGCAGTACTATAAGGTTACGCTCCTGCTTTAATAAACATTTCCCTTCTTTGCATTGCAAGAGATGCAGGGCAGTGGAAAATTTGGACTACAGATTGTGGGGATGGAAATATTTGTATCACTTCAACAAGTTCTTCTGTATGCTCTTCATTGTGCATGTAATAATTGCTTTCTTCCCATCCAGCTTTAAAACTGCTCGTACCTGGCTTCTTCCCTGCTCTCCTCGTGAGAGCTATTTCACAACCCGTTAGAGCTCACTGGTAAAATGTTATTAGTTACTTTCAGCTTCGTTTTTTCCGCTCTTTGTTTTATCTTCTGTAGTAATTAATCTGCCCTCCCTCCTGCTCTGGTTTATGCCTTACAAATGTTTGTAAACTGTTTCCATATCTCCTCAGAGCCAAGGAAAACATACTGTCATTGCAAATCAATCCCCTGTAGTTGCACAATGAGCTATCTCCTTTCTTCTGACCTCCCATTGTGTCAGGCTTTCCCAGTAGCTGCTGCCCTCAGCTGAGCAGTGGGCTTCTGCCCAGCACTTACCTTCGTGCTGCCTGGCCCAGGGTAGCTGTGTGCACAGTCCTGGTGCCTGTGCATTGCCTTCCTCCTCTCTAATACCTCCTCATGTCCCTTTCTCTAATTTGCCGGCTCTCCTAAGGTTTGCTCAACACAGTTTGACTTTTCAGAACTTTTCCCATCTCTGTCCTGGGGAATGTTAGTCGGTGAATTATTTTCTCCTTGCTAAGTAGCTTTTGTTTTCCACGTTGAATGCTGTCTCCATCTAATTTGTGATTTCTACTCTCCTGCTGTGTTTACACTGTCGTTGGGAGGACCCTGACCTAGCTACTGTGTAGCTGCTCCAGCTGTCAGGCTACTCACTCCTGTTTAGACTCCTGGTTTTGTACCAGAATATTCCTGCTCCTTCCTGAGCCCTGGGGATAGGGAGAAGGTGACAGCTTTGGGGAGAGGAGAAAAAGGAGTCCTGTAACAGAGAATCACAGAATCAGTTAGGTTAGAAAAGACCTTGAAGATCATCCAGTCCAACCATTAACCTAACATTGACAGTTCCCAACTGCACCGTATCCCTAAGCGCTATCTATGTCAACAGTTTTTAGGCTACAGGCTGCTGATATCTCCCAGACACAGTGTCCTCTTTCGAGCTGCAGATGGAGCACAGGCACCCAGTGCCTTGCCGAGGAGCAGGAGGATGAGCGTGTCCCTTCTTTGCCTGGAGGCAGCTCCTGCACCCCTCCCAGACACAGCAGAGCCTCTCCAGCACAGTCTTCCTCTGTCAGCTGGATGGTTTAAGTACTATTTTAAAACTTTAATGAGGCACTCAGTCTAAGGCCTTGCTGATCCCATCCCCATGATACCCTTGGTCCCTTCCCTCTAAAAAGCCCCTTGACAGATGCCATAATCCTTTGTTTACAGTCAAGTCAGTTTGCAGCCCCTCCACCTGAGTTATTTCAGAGCCCGCTCTGAGCTAATGCTGATCATAAAGTCCCATGAGACTTTACATGCTGGGCTTGCCTGGTAGCCAAGGACTGAAACACAACATGCCACAACATCAGAGTAACAACCTGATGAATACCAAAGTCCTCCTCCTTCATTGGCTCCTTTTACACACTCCTGTGCTTTGCCTTTGACTTTTGTCACACTCTGCTTCTGCTCTGCCTGCAGCCCTGGCACAGCCTGCCTTTCCCTTCCTCTGTGGGCAGCAGGATGGGTATTTGTTTTCCTTCTGCTGCTGCTACAAACTCCCTGCCTGGGAGATGCAGGAAAAGCCTCCCTCCTCCCCTGGGTCACAGGCGCTTTTCTGCATCCCCTTGCCAGGCTGATCCAGTGAGCACAAAGTGGCCTGAGAGACTTCAAAGTAATTGCCCAAAGCTAAGGCAACGTCCCCAGTGTTCACAGCCCAGAGACTCTGCTTAATGTTATCACCTGTGTCTGGGCCTCAGCCACTTCACTTGAGTCTTTAGAGAAATGGAGCTTCTAGCTGGGGCAGATGCACAGAGCAGGGAAGCAGAGAAAAAGCACTGGGGTGTGAGGAGGTAGCTGGAGATGGCAACATATGGCAAGGGGCAATGCAGAGGGCTACTGCCAGAAGGAAAACATTTGGCAGTCACTGGAGACAGACTTGTACTACATCCTTCAGTCTAATTTAAAGTCGGAGTCTAAGGCCAGCGTATGAACTGTGCTGACAGTGAGTTGTTATTAGTGTTCACCTTGCTGGGTGACACTATGGTGTGTACTGTTTGGTGTCTCGCCAAAAACACCTGGTCCTCAGTAACGAAAGGGTTTCTTTGATCCCTGGCTCACAGTATCTCCAGACAGTTGGTGCTCTCTGTATCAAGGACTGGCAGCAGTGTTGCTGCATGGATGCTTTCTTGGGGTCATGCTGAACAGCTTTGTGCAATTTTGGCACATCTGCAGTAGTCTTTGTATTTGGGTAAACCTATGCAGTTACCAGGTCTGTCTGAAAAGAATATGGTGGGCTGGCAGAGAAAATTTTGAAAGCGAAGGAGAAAACCTTGACAGTGCATATTTCCATGGAAACAAGTATAGATGTGAGAGTAGGTTTTATTTCCTTTTGGGGATACTCTGTTGTCAGTGCTTATTTCTGGAGAAATTAGAATGCTGTAATATTTTGGCCCAAAGCAAATCTGAGATGCGGCTGCTGAACCTCATGAACTTGGTTCTCCTGGTCAGGCTTGGCTTCTTACAGAGAGCTCATGGGTTGTGAGGGAGTTATGGAGCCCTTGCACATGGTGAACCATGGAGGATAGATTTGGCCCCAGGGTCATAGAGAAAACTTAAGATGAGGTAAACAAATACATAAATCACTCAGAAATTAGTATGAGGACATCTTTTGTTATAGGAGAGGTCATAGTACACTGTTGGAGTGATCTGTGCAGGACTACAAACTACATTTCTGTGAGCTACTTATCCATATACAAATAGTGCAGTGACCCAGAATCAACGCTAATAAGCAAGTGCCTTTGAGTGTAAACTCAGCAGGA